ATTGTGGTATTATGTCGATCAGAGTTGTCCTATATTCATCACCATCATTGCCTTTCTCACCCTGGATCAGGATACAGGCCACGAACAAACACTTTCCACCTTTCCCTATCCTGGGCTAGTCGCTTGATGTCACTCCATGTCTTCCCACTTTTCTGTACATCCATTTCCGTTACTCTTCTCCAGGTTCCACATGGTCTTTCTCTTGATCTTTTACCCTGTGGGTTCCAATCTAACGCTTTCCTTGTTTATGCTGCTACTTGACTTCCTTAAAATGTGTCCAGTCCCTGTCTTCCTATATTACTTGATTGTTATTATGTAGATCAGAGTTGTCCTATATTACTGAATTGAAGAATTATGCAGGAGCTGGTAGAACTGTTGGTGTCAGGCTCTGTGTAGCCGCCAAATTAGAAAAAACCCTTTTTTTGGTCTAAAATGACACAGACCGAAGGGCTAGAACCCAAATGGCCGCTGGATCGGAAAAGTAAAGTAAAAGTAAGTAAAAGTCTAAAATGATGCTTTTATACGTACCTGTTGGTTGTAAAGTGTATAGAGCATGCTGTAGAGCGTGAATATAATGTGCTATATTAATGAAATTATTATTATTTTTATTATTAGTGTTATTATTATTACAATTCGTAAACATCTGACACACAGTTTTGAGCTACTATGGTACCCCAACTTTTCTTAAATCAATATTCACATATTCACGCTCACACACTGAGATAGACATTGACAATATTTGGGGGCTTTTTTTCCCACAGTAATTCCAACAGGAAATTCAGAATAAGACATTGAAATCTTCCTGTGGAGAGGGTAACCAAATATTCAAATAAAGCTAACAAGCTACCATCTTCCGTAAGGCTTTTTGCAGAAAAATAACATCATATTTTGACGTCAGTTCCTTGCCTTCCTTCGTTACTCTGTTCTCTGTTATTTTGTTTTTCAGCTTGTTCCGTTTGATTTCCCCACGTTAATGGGACGGGCCTATCCTTCTGCAGACTATTTCGTTCGGCTAATGGTTGCTGATAGAGGTCTAAGGCTGGCGAAAATACTGTAAGTGACTTGTTTTCTGTAAACTTTGAATGTCTATTTTTTCTTTTTTCTGGAATGTTGTATCATGTTATTATTTTTGAAAGAATCTTGTTGCAACGAAAGATATTTCTTTTGGGATTTCCGAAAATTCTTAAAACATTTTTATTTTACTTTGTTTGTCCATGATTTTTACTTTTGTCCTGGCTATAGATAGAAAATGTTCTGAAAATTTCTACTTTTGTTGCAAATTATTTATAATTTTCTACAAGTACAAGGCTCTCTCTGTGTAATTTACATTTCCCTGATGTCATTTTAGTGGGAGGTTGGAAACCAGTGGGTGGTCTTACTTCTTTACCCTTACTTTGTCTATCAGCCATACTTTTTCTTCGCAAAAAAAAAAATAAAAAAAAATAAATATAAAAAATATGACCATGGTGTTGCTATGCTTCTCTTTACTGTAACTAAAGTCAGTGGCGAAGCGTCTATATAATCAAATAATCACTGCCTCCCTTCCTAATTTTGACAGATTGTCGCTGTCAAGTTCACCCATAAATGTAAACCTCATATATATATATATATATGTAAAAAGACGTTCATAATCACCAATGAACAGTATGCCTAACGTTCAAAACGGTTTCATTGCCACAGAAATAGCCTGTTCCCCTCTTTCGGGCCACTTCATAAGCAGTCACAAGCTTTGATTAAGTAAGCTTAAAAGTGAGGCTAGAAGATGGTTTCATAGGACTGCACCAAGTAGTTATCACCTTCTGTACCAGTTCTTGCCCACCTTGGTGATATCACCCACTTGTGGGCAGTTTGGCTGTTTTGGTGGGTGGTGGCTGGTGGCTAGTGGGGATCACCCAGTTAGTGACAGGTTATATTTAACGCCCTGCTTGAAAATACACGTAGGTGAACTGTATGAAAATTTGAGCCTCTTAACCCTACCCGTACGCCCTGGGGTCATTTTGTACCCCCGGGGTTGTATTCTTCCCATCACATTTTGGAATACTTCTAGTAC